TAATATACCAAGTGAGTCACACGGTTATATAATTTATTTGCCCTCACTCAAAAATTGCTCCTTGATTCTGGCAAATGGTAATTTTATTCCTGGAAAATCATTTGCTTCTGTGAAAGTTAAGGCAGCTTGAGTCAATAACTGGAGAGGAAATGCTCTCCCCAATGACAGAGATGCTACCGTGAGATCCATTTTGAAAGGAATCTACTTTTGTTGGGGGAAAAAAACCATTCACTTAATTTTTAAAGTAAAAAAGTAATGTTGGATGACAAATATATTTGAGAAACATTTCTCTTTCTTGTTGCCTTAAGCTTCCTAAAAAAACAAAACAGACAGGCATCTTAAGAATACAGTCTGTGTTGCTCCCAAAGAAATTAAAATAAGTGTTCCTTGGCTGCCTACCAGCTCAATGTTGCTCAAAGCAATGTGAACACTGAGGGCTTGTCTACATGGAAGCAGGAACCAAAACAATTAAATCAGTTATAATGTACACCTAATTATTTTGGAAGAAAATCTATCTACAGACACTCTTACTTTGAAGTAAAATAGGTTCCTGAAGTTAGTCTTCCAAATCCATGTTTAGATATATAAAAAAGTGGTCCATTGTTCAAAAGGGATGAGCACCCAGCTGCTCTGATTTAAGTTAATGAACAAAAAAGTATGTGATGCGTAATTCACAACTAACTCATAATGCTGCTTTCTGTAATGATAACGCACAGAAGATGACTTGAGGTTGCATAGGCCATCTTAATACTGACATTTTCTAACTTTTAGGTGGTGAATTGGCAACTTTAACATTATTTTAATTTTTAATGTCAGTATCTAATCTATCTAATCAATCACGTGTGTGTGCTCATGCACAAACCCAATCAACAATTTTGCCCACAAATAAACCTCATGTCCAATTTGCTGGTACTGATATTTGATCCAATTTGAGCTCTTTTCAAATGTTGAATTAACCAGTTAAAAGAACAAAGCTCAAAGTAGCAGAAACTCCAGAAATAACACACTGAAGTGAGCTATGTAAATAGCAGCAGTTTTATCTTGAGCATAATTCTATTTTAGATACACATAATGAAGGAGTTAAGCAAGAAATAATTCAGTAGCTGCTGATAAACGGTTACCCTTATTTCCCTTTCATGCATGATCTGATTCTTAGAGGTGGTGACATCTTCCATCATTGTTGTCATCACTCAGAACTTCACAGAATCTTGGCCAAAATTGTCAAACTTGTGTTCCTAAAGTTAGATGCCTAAATATGCACTTAGATCCTTAAATTTAGTGACCAAATTTGAAAATGTCCTTTTCCTTAAAGGCCAGATCCTGCTCCCATGGCTGGCAAAGGAGCAGGTGCCGATCCTTTATGTGCACATGGATAGTGATGATCAGCTACATCAGTGGAAGTTGAGGAACTTCAGCATCTTACTAGAGATTCTTGGTACTAGAGGTGCTGTCAAGGTGCAGGACGACCAGAATGATTATCCTGGGCCCAGGCTCAGCCAATGAAATGCCTGTGCCGAGTACCCTGAATCAGTGTCCTAACCTATAAATCCTATCAGAAAGGATTGGAAAACTATATGCACTGTAAGTTCCAGGTCCCCTTGAGGTAGATAAAAGAGATAGAGAGAGAAAAAAAAGACAGAAGGCACGTGAAAGGGAAGAAGAGAGAAAGAGTGAAAGAAGACCAGCAGCACCAACTGGAAAAAGGGGGGGGGGGGGGGGGAGAGAGAGAGAGAGAGAGTGTTTCTCTTCTGACACTTGCACTGTCTAGACTAGGACTGGGATATACTGAGAATTACGTTGAAATTGCAAGCTAGCAGTTTGAAGATGGGGATGTTCCTGATGGTGCTTGCAGGTCAGGGGGCTTTGTAGGGAAGTGTAGGATCAGTTTGTAGCTACCTAGCCTAGAATAAGATGGGATGCATTGTGCCTCATTAATTTTAGGGGTCAGCCTCTCTGTTTTGGGGATCTTGTGTGCAATTAGGAGTGCTAAACGGTATTATAATTGATTATAAATATGTTTCTACTTGTTCTAATATATTGATTTCAATTACAACACAGAATACAAAGGTGTAGAGTGCTCACTCTATATTATTATTATTACAAATATTTGCATGTAATCCCCCCAAAAGAAAAAGTATATTTCAATTCACTTCCTATAATCTCTGTAGTGCAATCTCTTTATCATGAAAATGCAACTTACAAGTGAAAAATTATGTTAAAATAACTGCGTTAAAAAAACAAAACAATGTAAAACTTTAGCTCCTACAGGTCTGCACTGTGATTCTTATTGTTCAGCCAATTGCTAAGTCAAACAAGCTTGTTTACATTTACAAGAGATAATGCTGCCTGCTTCTTATTTACAATGTTCTGATGATAATCAAAAGCAGTGTAGAAAAATGGACTTTCATTTTCATCATCATGAGTCAGATGCCACCAGCAGAAGTTGGTTTTTCTTTTTGGTGGTTCAGGTTCTGTAGTATCCACATTGGACTGTTGTTCTTTGTTGCTCTTTTAAGACTTTTAACAGCATATTCCACACCTTATCCCTCTCAGATTTTGGAAGGCACTCAAGACTCTTGGGTCGAGCACTGTAGCTATATCTTTAGAAATCTCATTTTGGTACCTTCTTTGCATTTGGTCAAATCTGCAATGAAAATGTTCTTAAATCAAACAACATGTGGTGGGTTGTCATCTGAGACTGCTATAGCACAAAGTATATGGTAGAATGTAGATAAAACCCTAGAGCAGAAGACAAATAATTCTCCCCCATTGATTTCAATCATAAATTTAATCTACACATTATTTTTAAATAGCATCATCAACATGGAAGCAAGTCCTCTGGAACGGTGGTCAAAGCTGGAAGGGGCTTATGAATGTTTAACACATCTAGCACATAAATACCTTAAAACATTGGCTACAACAGTGTCATGCAAATGCCTATTCTTATTTTCAATTGCCATTGTAAATAAGAAATGGACAGCATTATCTCCCCTAAATGTAAACAAATATGTCTTGAATTAGTGATTAGTTGAACAAGAAATAGGACTAAGTGGATCTGTAGGCTCAAAACATTTATAATGTTTTGGTTTTGAGTGCAATTATGTAAAAAAATTGTACATCTGTACGTTGAACTTTCAAAATAGAGATTTCAGTTCACCTCATACAAGTACCGTAGTCCAAAATACTATCTTTTATTTTTTTATAGTGCAAATATTTATAATAAAAATAATAATATAAATATCCTTGTAGACTTCGTATTCTGTATTAATATATTTGAAAATGTAGAAAAAACATCCAACATATTTATAATACATTTAAATTGGTATTCTGCTATTGTTTAACAATGCAATTAAAATTGTGATTAATTGCATTCAAAATGTTTAGTTAATTTGTTTTGCATTAATTGAGTTAACTTTGATTGACAGACAGCTCTATGTGTAATTGGTCTGAATTCTCAGCAATTCAGTACTGTTACATTGCAGCCTTCCAGCAAGAGTATTCATGTTTTTAATTTAACTCCTCCGGGTGTACGTTGTGAACACAGCAATGAAAAAAGGTGTTCATTTAAAAACATAACTAAAGTAAATCAGGAGTAAGTCCCCTGAAATAAATTAAGATAAACTGGTGTGAACAAGAAGAGAATTAGAACCATTGTTGGAGAGAGTGCTTAGGAGAGGACAGATGATATGTCATGAGAACAGCATAAAAGAACAGAAGTGTGAATAGGTTGAGGAACAATTTAAGACTCAACTCAGGTCCCATTATTCTCAGGTAGCACTGTATAACACTTTACAAGTATGTAGTAGCCCAAATTAAACATTCTGGAAGAAAAAAGAGAGACTGAAAACATAGCTGAGTTATAAGCTTTTTCATTTTAGAATTTAAGCTTACACAGTCATCTAGGCCCACTATATTCATAATTACATTTCAATATCTGCATACAAAAGCTATGTAAAAATTATTTCCCCCCAAATATACAAATTTTTTCTTCGGATAGTTTAAAACATTTGTGGTCACAGATTTTTTAATAGATATATAATATATATTTTAGTCTGAAAAAAATATTACTGATATAGCATATCACTTACTCCTGTTTGCAAAAAAAATCCAAAACAAACAAACAAAAAAACCAAAACAAAAAAACCCCCATCATCCAAGGTACTGTCTTTCATTACACCATGTAATGTTTGTCTTATCCTCAGGGCATGAAACCAATAACAATAATAAAAAAAAAGTCAACCTCTTTTCTCTTTTTAAAGAAATGACAGGAGAGACTAATTTGGTGTAGTTGTGAACAAATTAAAAATGAAGAGTTAAGAAAGTATGAAAAGAGAAAAAGAAATTACAGTGTGTCAGCTAATTCATGCCCTGATATTATCTATACCAATATTAAATGTAATTAAATAAAGTGTCGTTTAATGTTTTACATTGTGCTCAGTAATTTACATAAATTTAATCTACACCCTCTGACTGATGCAGATTTACATTTGATTGTCTTGTGCATAAAGAGGGTTAACTTTTAAAGTAGGTAAACTGTGCAATGGATAGTCACAAAAAACATATTACCTGCACAATATTGCTTCTGAAGGCGACATCAGTCAATGTAGATACACACAAAAAATGCGTACTCTTTGCATTTACTAAACAGTTATACAACACAGTAAAACTTTGATAAGGCCAAACCTTTTTTTTTTTTAAACAAAATTATTCTGTTGTAAAAAAAAATGTGCTCACATTACTTTGAATCTTTACATGGAAAATAAATCTCTGTTACACTAGAATAAAAATTCTCTCTATAAAATTTACATGCGGATCCTATCATAGCAATTTCAAAAGGAAATATCTGATAAATAGTTCCATATTGTTACAATACTGGGATAAATTAAGAACTTGTTTTAGGTCTGGGAGAAAAGACAAGTGCTGGTCACTTTTAAATGCTCTCACAGCAAGTGAGAGGG